CAAAATTAAGCTCATTTGCTTCAATTAGATCATGTTGCCCTTCACGAACAATCAAAATGAATGAACCTCTCTATCTGGCAGCATTACTTTCAGATATGGCCAGGACTCTGCTTCATTTATTTCCAACTCAAATGACAGCATTTTTTCCCTTCACCCTGAGAGAAACATGTCATCTCTTGAATTTAATATAGCCGGCTGAGCTAGAAATTGCTATCAAGAAATCCAGAGGGATAGAAAAGCACTAGGGATATTTTTATCTCCTGATACAAATATTTGGGGGTCTTTATGCATAGCAAAAATGTATTTATTTATAGAATTTTATTTGCCATATGATACTCAGGGTGGTTTACAAATGACTAAACCCAAAACACATGGTAAGATTATAAAACCAGAAGACAGTAAAAATCACACAGCTCCCTCACTAAAGCATAAGCCTGCTCTGCTCACTCAACTCTGTGGCAAAACTTTGAAGGGCAACTGGGCAGTTGTGGTTGCCACATCCCACATTCAAGAGTTGCTCTTCATCCAATTAGCCTTCCTACACAATTAGAACATTTGTTTCACTGTTGGGTTAACTGGGTGTGTTTGAGTAAAGGGAGAAGGCAGGTTGGGATATTTAGGTACCCTGGAAAGGGGCATGGCTCCATAGGCCTTAGGTTTGCCAGATCACAACCCAGGCATCATGCCTGCTGCATTTTGAAGTATTTGAAGACTGAAATTGCTGGGCCTCCTCTACTTCCTCACCTTCCTCTCACCTGTTGCACCAAACAGTACTCCACTTTTAGTTCACAGCAGACAGGGAGAAGGCTAAGCCAACAGACTGCCGGAAGACAGGGCAGGGAAGACTGTGGTTATGTGTGCTCCTGCTACTTTGTAATGGTTAACTATGGCCCCGGTCACACAGGCAGGAAAATGCGGGGGGGGGAAGCGTGGTTGTTTGCCCCAGAGCAAAATAATGCACGGCTGTGCGATCAGACGTCCCGTCGAGGTCCCATGGTTAGGGGGGAGGTGCCGATCACAGGATAATCCTGTGGCGCGGCAAAGAAGCGGCCTCCCTAGCAAAAGGCTCCGGGTTTAACCCCTTCCAGGGCTGCAGAGGAATGCAACTCCGGTCCCCTCCAGGAGGAGCTTCAGCCAGGCTGCCCTCCCGCCACGCCCCCCTGCACCTCCCCCTCTGCCGCCCGGTGCAGAGAGTTCCTTTCAAGCAGGCTGAGCCAGGAGTGGGGGGTACGGAAAAGAGGAGGGGGCTGTGTTGTTTTTAAACAAAATGTGCGCATGCGCCGTTGGGTGCTTGTGTGCATCCTGTGGAGACTTGGGGAAAAAAACCTGTTCGCGACGGGACATGGGCAGGCGCCGGATGCCACGGGATTCCACCAGAAACGCGATCAGGTGCCCGCCCTTGCCCCGCGGTTTCCGGAAACTAGTACCTTGGAGGTACTAGTTTTTTACCCCACATCTTCGGCGGGAAGCCTCGGGTCCGCCACGGGAGCTCTACGCTTCCCAGATGTGGCGCTGTGATCGTGCCCGGAAAATCCACCTATCTTCCGTCTCTGTAGCGTGGCTAATGCTCTGTGTGACCGCAGCCAGAGACTAGCATACTGACAAGCGATTTGTTAACAATTCCCACCCTTACACTGACAAAACTAGCTGTTCCCCCCAGGATTAACTAGAGGACATAGCTGATGCAGACCATACCTGCAAAAAAGCACTGCCTCTGATTTGGGCTCCTGGTTCTCATTTTTGTTTTGGGGAAGTCAGGGTGACTGCTGAGTGACTGACTAGTTTGCTCTCCCTCCAATAGGATGTGCAATTTCCAGATGCCTCCCTAGATTGCACACCTCATTACTGAGCAAGATGTGAACATCTTTACACTGAAAGGTACTAATTGCGCTGTTGCGTTCTTCATGTCAAATAACAAACATAAGCACTATCCTGTGGGCAGATCTTTGAAGATCTACTTGCAAGGATGTACAACTTTCTGAATAGCCATCATCACTTGGATCTCTATTCCTGTTTCCTCTTGTAAATGCATAACAACCATACTTAGAATAGAGGGATGAATGGAAGATTGGAAACAAACTAAACCAAAAAGAGAAACATCATGAGAAGGAATGTATATTAAATAGTAAGCAATCCTGCCCTCTGGTGTTTGTTCTTGGGCTGTGTGTTTTTAAACGTTTCTTGTTTTCCAAGAGCTACACTGTAATTATCTGAATTCTGCAGTGACATGGTAGAGGAAATGCATGTTCCTTTTTCTGTAATTAATAACTCTACTGTAAGAAGTATTGAAGCCAGACCGTAAATGGGTTTCAAAGTTACAAACTGGATCTAATTACAGCGCCAATTACAATTACCAACTTCTGCTTTCCCCACCATTCTCACCATCCTCATTCACTCCCACTGCTAAGGGTCAGAAGGCCCTCTGAAATAACAGGCCACAAGGCATAGTGGGCTGTTCAAGAAAAGAGAAATCAGTTGAAATTGCTCTTCCATTCCACTCAAGCAAGATTAAAGGGACAGTGGTTTCAGTTGATCTCCCTTTCTGTTGCAGCTCCCCCAATGCCACACTGTTATGGAGGGTCCCATTATCTTCAGAACTTTTATGCACAATGCAGAGGGCTGCTGGGAGAAGGTGAAGCCGGTCTGTTCACAAAAGCCTTGGATTCAATGCTACACTATACAAGCAGAAATTGGGATTCTTGTTTCTTTCTGTTTTACCCTTGAATATGCATTTTCAATCTGATCTACACAGGAAAATGCACACGCATTGGTATCACATGGTGGCTAAGAAGGTGAAACGTGGGTCTGAATTCAAATCTCATCTTAGTCAAGGCCCCATCTCTAAGGGAACAAAAACACAGACCTACGTTATAGGACTGTTATAAGCATTATGGAGATAATTCATGAGAAGTAATCTGAACACTAAAAATGCTATACCATACTACCAAACATAAGTTTCATAGATTTCTTTCTTCACCCCTAACATTAACTATAAGTGATTTTTCTATATTGGGGGGGGGGGGTTAGAAATAATCAAAACAGTACTTGTAACTTTTATGTTGCAGACTTTGGGGTTCAATGAGCCTGGGCCATTTGGTTTTTCTATGCTATGTAGGTTTTGCTATAACTGACTTTGGTTTCTTGGTCCAGAAGTCCCATGAGCTTTTGCTCTTTTGCTGGCAGCCTAGGTGTAAAAACTAAAGCCTTGCCCTGTAGATGTACCTTTGCCTGAATTCACATTCCATGACCTTCAAAGCCTTAACATATCTGTCTAGTTCTTTCTGACATCACAGATAATAAAATATATCTAGGTGAAAGTTCATACTAGCAAAAGTTCATCTTATCAACTTAGGATGGACTGGTATTTGACAAGTTTGTTAGATTTTAATTAACTCCTCCCTTGATTCCTATTGGCTGAAAGGAGTTTAAAAAGCAGGCTTTGGGCTTTGTTTGGGGCTGTTTGGCCAACACCCCATCTAGGCTTGAGTGAGGTCTTGGTCCACAGTCCAGAAATTCCGTGTCCTTTCTGAAGTGTACACTACATTGGGCACTGGGGTTTTTCTTGGTTATTGATATTGAATATATGCTATTGAGTTTTACTTGTGTATGGCTTTAGAATTAATAAATGCTTTCAGTTTAAGGCAACTGTTCAGTTTAAGGTTTCTCTCCCTCTGGAGGCCTGAGTTCCCTAGCCAGACTCCACCCACCCATAGAAAAAAACCCTGGAAGAGGCCTGGACCCCTAAAATACCCCTACACATAAAATATTTTAAGATTTTAAGAGTAAAATGATAGCTCTTCCACAGAACATTGTCTCTGTTCCGTCAAATATTCTCTACCATATCATAGAGCTTGCACTTTCAGATGTCATACATTACTGCTCAGTGGCAGGAAAAAGGAAGTCACAGCTTTCCCCCCCTAGCTAGCTGTCCACTGATGGTTCCTACTCTGCTTTGCTGGTATTCTCTAGGGCACTGAGATTCAGTTTCCAGCATGTTCTATTAGAATGACTGTGGCAGTAGGTTTGGGCAAGGGGGATGGAGACAGATACAATCTGTTCCTCAGGTGTGCCAGCACTTTAGACTTCTCTATTTAACTAAATTCAGGAAAACAACAGAGACATTCAAGGCTAGCCACCAGTTCGTAGCAAACTGTCATTCACAGAATAATTATTTTCATTTTCTATTTCTGTGCATATATGCCAGAGAATCTGGCTTTTGAAAAAGTAGATTAAATTGAAACTTCCATGTCTTCAAAAGCATAAACTGGTTAAGGCCTAGACCCAGCAGTGACTCCCTGATAATTCTTCTGTTGTCAATATCAGTGGTCTTCAGCAGTAAGTGGGTGGATCAAGGAACCCCAGTAGCTGGATTGAGAGCCCATGCAGAGCTGTATTTTTGTGCTGTTTTCTGGAAGGACCTGCTGCTAGAGCACATGAGTAGGTTGCAAAGCCATCACACCTTTTGCATTTCTGTGTATGTGTATGGAGATCAGCAGTAGGACACAAAGGTGAGATGACTCGATGGATTTTTTAAAGCACAGGCAGATCTAGACACTCTGGGTCCTCCTCTTCTCACATGACTCATGTCATATGAATTCCTGCCACATGCTTGCAGCTCAGTGGGTCCCATGCTGCCGCCTGTGGTTAAAAGGTATGTTTTGAGTCTGGAAAGACTGAAGACTGCTGGTCAAGAGGATGCCCCAAGATCCTGGGTTCAATACAGTTATTCCCCACGAGTGATGCATAAATGGGTAGGAGCACAATTTAGCAGATTCTTGCCTCATGCAGCCCTTTTGTTGCATCCTACATTGCTCCTGAAGACCCCTTGGAAGGATGGGGGAAGATGCACTACAGCAAGACAAAGGAGTAAGAAAGATGTAGTTTATGAGAAGAAGTCTGTTCAAGGTTCTTAAGGCCCCTCCACTCCTTTTGTCAGACTAAAACATTTAGTTGATTAATGTTAGATTGATCAGAAAACTTTTGATCAACCAAAGAGACATCTCCCCAGTTGTTTTTCATACAAATATTCAGAAAAACTGCAGGTGGCAGGCGCCATCTTAAAAGATTTATTTCCCTTAGATACTGACACAAAAGGAAATGCCTCTTCTAAGTCACTGCCTGCTATGTGCATCGTCTAAAAACAAACCATTTCCCCGCACAGTTACTGTATTTATTCATACACAAATACATGCATATTTAAATCAAACCATATATAATCGATCAAGTGAGATTTCTTTAAATTGGGTCCTTTCTTTTCTTACTCTTTTCATTTCTAGTTTTCATTAAGGTATTGTAATTCTTTGGTTTTCAAAGAAACAAAAATGTGAATTTAAGCAAGTTATTTCAAAGTACAAGACAGGATTATGTTTTGAATAATGTATCTTTAAGACATAGAATAAAGATTTTTTTTTTGGCAGAATGAGCACCAGACCATAGACTAAAGAACACTTGGACACAAAGTGTATGATTCAATCTCACAACCTGATTTTAAAGAAATATATTCCCCAAATCAAAATAACATTTCCTTTTCTGCTCTCCTCCTTGGACCAGAGTAAGCATCTTAATGCTACTGGCCCTTTACTATGAATCTAAGGGATGGATCAGGCATCTATTTCTTAGCTTGAGAAAGGAGCCAATCTTGGTCTCATATGGACTTCATAATCTATTCTCAGTTCTGAGAACGTTAGAACTCTGTTCATCATTCATTTGTAAAATTAGCTAGACGTCTTTCTTCCCTGTCCCATTTCTCATTTCCTCAGGCCCAGATTTGCATTTGAGGACCTAAATGAGAGGTGGACAAGCATTAGGTTCAGGAAATTCCAGGAACCGTTCATTCTGGTATTCTGTAGGTCAGCTATTACTTGTTTCAGTGACAATTTGATTGTATCTCATAAGGCACTTAAAAGGCTGAAAGCACTATATCACTATTAAGGAAATCATCTGTTTACCACAATACAACAGGCACTCACACCTCTTTAACTGAATTACAATTTTAAAACAAAATATCAGTTCATGTTTTCAATTATGCATGATGCAAGATGGCTGGTATTTTTGGTGTTTACAGATTTCCAAAAAACATGCATTTTGCACCTCTTGTAAAGCATCACAACCATTGATGATGATAATAAAATACAGCATGTGTAAAAACTCATCATCTCATTCAATTGACAGGAGTCCCTTTCAGCTCACCTTATCCTTCTCTTGTTGTTGCTAAGTGAACAGGAGATATCTAGAACCTTCACAAAAGCGGAAATTCGCTGACCTGTGCAATTTCAAACACACAGTGGACACTGATATACGCTAATGGCTGAATGCATTTTTCTTTCTCCATTTCTTCTGCCATTCAGAAATATATTATGGGATCAGTACATAAGCTGGCCAGGTGAGGCTACCTAAGTGCCCTCATTGGGCCCACAGCCTGAGTGGCCCACTTTGTGAGATGACATTCTTCTCCGCATCAGATTCCATGGATGACTCTTTTCACAACAGAGAAATGCCTGTGCCAAGACACCATTAGATGTCAATGTCGCTTGCGTCTGTTCGAGGCTACTGCACTCCTCAAGCAGTAGGCATTGGTGGGTCCTGCTGAGGTCTCAGTTCTTGCCCAAGCTTGCTCTGCTCAAGCTCAGTGATTACAGACATGTACTTAAACTGATCTGGCTGGTGGTTAAATGTTTCCACTAAATTGTAGGTCTCCTGTCGATCTGTTGCATAAAATAGCTGCACCTGGCTGGCTAGGCACTGAGCTTCTGGCACATTCTGCGAATGTAAATACACAGTGCAAGTCGTCACAATAATTACACTTTGTTATCCATTCAATCCCCCCCCCCCCCCTCACATTCCAACTTTCTTTATGGACCCAGAGCTTCAAGCTGAACCACTGGTACACTTCAGCTCTCCATGTTTTTGTTAAGGCTGGATTAGATGTCTACAAAGGTGACCACTTACTGTGACCCCAATAACAAACTGATGAAGCTGAATTACCCACTTCCGTAGTACTGCTCTCCCAAGACTGAAAGCTCCCCCATGTACAAAGTAACTTTCTGATAATAAAAAAGCTTTCAAAGAGAATGGTTTAGTATTAATGGGGGTATTCTTCTCACCACATGTCAGGGGAAAATTAAAGAAAGAGGGTGTGGGGGAAAATATAACTTCAGCCATTTAACTCTGTACTAAATCTTGCATTTGTACCAGCAATCAATTTTCTTACTACAATGTCACACTCATGACAATATCACTAACAACTGCTGTTGCCCAGGAAATGGATATGGCAATAATGTACAAGTAAAATGCATGCTGTGAATACCTATGTCATTGCTTAGTCTGTCTCAGTAAGAGTTACTGTGTTGTGATGGTGTTAACTCTGAGCACATGGGAAAACTAACATGACCCCTTATTTGACCATTCAACTATCATAATGCTAAAAGAGTTGTATCAATCAGCCCAAAGCCCCTCCAAATAAAACAACAAAACCGATGGCAAAAGTTTGTCTTCCTAATCTCTACTATTTGGAACAGGAAATTGCTACAATTTCAAGCAAGTGTGATTGGATCATGAAACACTTGCAACAGCCTGTCTGAATTTCCCCCCACTGGTATTACTTATGGGGGGGAAAGAAAGCCATTTATGACTTAGCTTCCTTTACCAGGAAACGGGAATCCATTTCTGCTGTCATCAGTACAATCCCCTTGTCCTCTTGAAGCTCGGGGTAATGGTACAGGATCAGCTGGCTAGTTGCAGCTTCACCTTGGGTCTGCAGAAAATAAAGAGATGTCAAATGCAAGGGCAATAGGAAGAATCCAGATTTACTGAGTAGTTCATGACAGTCCAATAGAAGACAATTTATTATTAAATAGTACACACACTATAGCCCCCTAATGAAGATCAAAAGAGGAATTTTAATAAAGAAGCCAGCCATTTGAAGACTGCAGTTTATGCATCAAGGAACTCCCCCACACAAAGAGGCACTCATAAGAGATAAACTGAGAAAATCCTAATGCAGTCCTGTGCATGGATGCCAAATATTATGCAGGTATTAAGAATATAAATGCACTTACTGAACAATAACTTCAGACAATAATGTAGAACCAGCAGGAAGAATCTGTGAGCTGCTTCACTTTGCCCATGTGAAATGTTCAGGACAGACAGTGCACAATTTGCTTTCACTAGCAGGTAATACTAAAATGTTTGTTTTTAGGGGAACAGAAGTGTTCCTGTAAGCCCCCACATGAAACCTTCACCAGGGAAGAACTCAATCCTTTCAACTACCAGCCTCACAAAATTAAACATATTTAACATTACTCATTAGCTCTCTCATGACATGCATGGTTTCACACTGCATAACCCGCCTTGAGTCCCAGCTATAAATAAAGTCAGTCAACAAGTAAAAATAAACAACTGGAGCATGAAGTATATGTAGGTAAAGAGAACTCAAGAAAGCCCATCATCAACAACAACAACAAATACAAAAATGCAAGCAAAGACGCCAACTTGAGGAAATACTGAAGGAGAATTCAGTTTCTTTAGCTTACAGAACTGAGTGAGGTTTCATCAGAGCACTGTGGTGACTCAGAGAACATAGTTCATTCTCCAACTTAAACCCCTGTAGCTCTCCACATTATTAAAATATCCAGATTAGGCTCAGTTTCTGGAAAAATTAACACAATAGCGTCCCAGCTTAAGACAACAATTATGAGGTGTGAACAGTCAGCCATTTTGGAGAATGGACTCTTTAACCAGCATGGAGGACTGACACACTTATGAGTGGCCTGATTTTTTTTTTATATATAGAGGTTAATGATAATGGCTGGAAAGAAAAAAAATTCCTTAAGTCTCACTGTAAAAGGAATGATGTATGAACTGTGCCCATGTGCAACAATAAATGGTCCCATGTTTTATGGAATGTTTTGAAAGCCACAAAAAATAGCAACTTCAGTATGAAATCTTAAGCCAACCACTGGTAATCAATTTCCAAAGAAAATCACCTACCTGAATGTTTATGAGAGAAGTGAAATGGAGTTCTGCTCCTGACCACTGGCCCACAAAAAACTCATAGCCTTCGTTCCTCGGCAATGCAAACAGAAACTGGTGAGTGGTGGGGAAAGACAAAAGATTTATTTATTAACCAAGTTCAGTTTGGGATGAAATCAGAAAAATACAGATCTCATGAAAGAACCTTTGCCATCACAAAAACACTGAATAAATTACAGCAACGGATTCATTTTCAAAACACATCCCCTGCTCTGAAAGGGGTTGAGAGGTTCAGGTTTCTTTTCCTCATGGACTTCTAAGTAAGGGAATTGACATTAATGCAGGCAGATCCCTAGTGTCAGAATTCCTGGTCTGAAAATGCAGTAATTGGCCTTAAATCTCACTGGCATTTCTGAACTGCATCTCATGCAGTATGTTTCACAATCACAAGGAGCTTGAGATTGGATTGGACATAATCAAATATTTACTGAATCTGTATTCTGATTTTTCTTCTAAAGCTTGGAATGCCTTATTTGGAATTAGCCCATGTTATCCTCAAAAACCACTCTGTGAAGCTTAGGTTAAGAGAGAGAATGCCTGGTCTAAGATCATCAGTTGAGCCTGAAGGCCAAGTGGCATTTAAATTCAGGGCTGCCTGGTCCAGTTTCACCATGCTATCCAACACGCCTTATTAGCTCATGGGCAGAATGGCTGGCTAGATAAATACTTTGAAAAATTACACATTTGTATGTTTAATTACCATCAAAACATTGGTTTCTGAAATGCCTAAGGGTTATATTTAGCTAGAGCTCAGGCAAGGTTCTCAGTGTCCTGCTACTCCTCCAAAATGCGGGGGGAGGGGAAAGAAAAACCACAATAAGTGGATTATTTTCATTACGATGGATATCCAGAAGGTCCCTGTTCGTCACCCACATTTCCAGAGTGAGTGAAGAGTCAGGATTCTAAATAATTATATGGAAGCTGCACTAAACAAGTGGTAATTAGCCCACCATGGCAGTTGGGAAATGGAAGGGCATATTATCACCCCAGATTTACTGAGAGCAATTATTTATACCCATCCACTGGTAGTGCCAATCTTATACGACTCAGTAATATGATTTCTGGATTTTATTCAGGATAATATTGTTAGCTCCTCTTAACAGCAGCAGAAACAGATGGTTATTTACAAAATTTACACCCCTGTCTTTCTGCCCTCATCCAGACCAAGGCAGCTGGATGTTTAAAAATGTACGTAATAAAATCGTATCTTAAAAACCATTAACCCCCCCCAATTAAAACAAAACCTAAAATACACATAAAAACATAAAACAACAATTAAAATATAGGGCACAAAGAAGAGGCCACTGAGGGAACACTAAAACAAAACAAAAACATATATATTTCCCTGCTGGCAGAAGATGGCAACAGAAGGGAACAGATCAGTCTCTCTGGGGAGAGTGTTCAAGAGTTCTGAGAAGGCCCTCTCCCAAGCTAATCTCTACCTAATCTCAGGATGCAGGGGCACCTAAAGCTGGGGCACCTGAAGACGACCGCAATGGCCAGCTAGGGCCATAAGGGAATAGATGGTCCTTCAGGTATGCTTCTCCCAAGCCATGTAGCACCATAAAAGGTCAACACTGGCTTCTTGAATTGGCCAGAGAAGCATATTGGGAGCCAATCTAAATGAAATAGGACTGGAGTGGTCCCTACAGCCCACTGAGGTTAGTGTTCTGGTCACAGCATTCTGTACCAATGGTAGTCTTGGGATATTCTACAACGGCTCCACGTAACGATATGTCACAAATGAAGCATCTCCCATTATTGGGGTGCAATGGGAGGAGATTCATCTTCTCATAATGACTTTGTTATATGCAACTATTAAATGTGCAAATGGTATCTTTATGTTGTTCCTTGGAGTACCCTGTGTGCTGGGCTGAAGAACTGTTATGGCTGGAACTTAAGAAGTCTTAAGTGAGTACAGTGGCTATATTTCAAACCTAGTATACTCAGGAATCTTTTCTGAAAAAGTCACCCAAACCAATAACATTTGAACCTCAGACCATTAATAATCAAGTTCTTACAATAGGAAGAGTGCAAGAAACAAAACATATGCTGCAAGAATAGGAGAGAAGACATGTATCTAGAAAGATATGCCACACTTACAGATGGGCAGTGCTGAGCTCGCTTCCACATCAAATCAAAGATCTTGCCCTTCAGAAAAAACAACAACCAGTTCTAACCACAGTAAAATAATGGGCAGCATCATGGTTTACAGAAAACATTTACATCCTGCCTTTCCTCACTTGATATTGCTTACATCATCAATAATATACTAAAAACAGTAACAAGTCTAAAATTCAGTATAAAAACAGAAAGCCACATCATCAACATGAAGAGCTAATCCAGTGAGAAACACCTTAGTTAACCACTGAAGGCCTAGAAAAAGACAGTAGACTTGGGTTTTTTGCAAAAGGTCTGTACAGATAGTACTGTACAAAGCACCAGACGTGTGTTTTTCTAGACATAATTCCTTGGTCCTTCAATTCCACCAAATGGAGAAGTTCTACCCATAAGCAACTTCCAGTTCTGGTAGGCTCTTCTGTCACTAAATTCAATACTAGGGAAAACAAACAATGAGGCATCTGTTCTTAGGATATTACGTTGTTTTGTCCATACCTCTCACCTGAGTTCACCTCAGTTACCAGTTTGATTATGTTTGCTAAGTAACTAGTTTTAAAAATACCCTCAATTTATTCAATTTAACAAAAGCGCTTGTTACCCTAGAGCAAAAGTAAGCTACTCAGAGCTCTTTCAGCCCTAATCTCAGACATTCTCACACTGTAGAGTATGAATGAATTTTATTGTTACGGCGCTTAGCCAGCAATATAAAACCATAGGAATAAAAATAAATTACAATGGCCTAATAGTAAAATTTCCAAAGTGCAACTAGGTACTAAAAAATAACATTGTACAATCATTTTAGTCACTAAAACCAGACTTAAAATTACACTGCAATAAAACACGGTAAAAGGAAATAAACTAAGATGATTTGGGAACAGTAAAAGTTAAAATCAAATAGTCCTAATCTGAGTGACAACCAGGGCACTGATAAGCTTTTACAACCAAGGAGCAAAATTTCGCAATCTGATGGAGCGCTGTATGTTCAAGGTTAAAAAACAAGTTCTCCATCTTATCCTGATCAGAAGTGCCTGCCAAAAAAGGCTCAATGAGTTTTGTGCGCGCCTCTTCAAATAACGGGCACCTTAAGAATACATGCTCCTGAGATTCGATCTCCCCCAACGCGCACATACATAGCCTCTCTGTTCGGGGTAATTTTTTTAATTTGCCCTCAAGAACTGCAGAAGGTAAGGCAGAGCATCTAGCCAAAGTGTAAGCTCTTCTGAGTTTGCGGGACTCCAGAACATCTAAATATGGGGCCTGCGTAACAATGTATTTATTACTAGTTGGCGCTATAAAAGTTGGAGACACCTGTAGATCTAGTTGGCGTTCGGTGTCCTTGATCCTCTGCTTAATTTCTAACTTAGCTCGGTCACCACCCATTTCCAAAAGTGCTTGAGGAGAATACCCCAAGAGTGAAATTTTTCGCTTAACAGCGACCAGCCATTCAGATTCAAAGGGATCAGTCAGAATCAGAGGCACTAGTCCACACGGATTTAAATTTATCTTCAACCAATAGAAGAAGGAGTATAAGGCAATCATAGCTTCGACCTTCAGCATGCCCGTCTCTAGCCTTACCATTGCATTAGATACGCATCTAGGAACTTGGAGCACTGCTCTTAAAAACTTCAATTGAACTAGCTCTAAGGGGGCATAGTTAGAGGAAGGCGCTCTATGAGCTACACTTACAGGAATAACAGCATAAACAGTGTCCTCTCCAGAAAAATATTGCTTCCATATCTGTATGAAAGAAAGGACTCCATTACTTTCAGAGACCATCATGGAACACAGAGGCAATCTCAAGTGAAGGCAATACTCATCATACTGTAATGCTCCCCACACAACGATCCCTTAAACACCTGGGAATGGAACGGCCCTGGAAGATCATACTGCAGCGGCGCGGAGGGCCAGTACGGTTGTTCTGGGATATAGACAATATCATCTGAACATCATCAGCTGAATACCATCTTTTTGCTTAGTGTAACTTCTTAGAGCACTTGTTAATGATCTTGTTTTATTGTGTTTTATCATGTTTTATTCTGTTTTATTGGCACAAAGTGTCCTATCTGTAAGCCGCCCTGAGCCCTTGTGGGGAGGGCGGGGTATAAATTTAATAATAAATAAATAAATAAATAAATAAGTTTGGAAAGCACCAAACATAAAACTTACTTATTATTTCCATAACTTTATAAGACATCTCTCCAGAGTCCTGTTGATGTTGACTTATGAATAAAAACAATACCGGCCAGTGTACAATTTGCCCTATTTGGGCAAAATAATAGAGAGGGCTGTGGCAATGCAGCTACAGAGCTTTTTGGATGATGCTTCCATTTTAGATCCCTTCCAGTCCGGCTTCTGCCCAGGACATGGGACAGAGACAGCACTGGTCGCCCTCACAGACGACCTTCGGAGGCATCTGGATCGGGAGTACTGTTGTTGTTAGATCTGTCGGCAGCATTTGACATGGTCGACCATCAGTTACTGGTCCACCACCTCACTGACATAGGGGTACAGGGGCTTGCCTTGCAATGGCTTGCCTCCTTTCTCCATGGTTGGGGACAAAGGGTGGCGGTAGAGGAACAACTCTCCCAGAGGTACCCACTTGAGTGTGGAGTGCCTCAAGGGGCGGTGTTGTCCCCGATGATATTTAACATCTACATGGGCCCCCTTGGCCAGATTGCCCAGAGATTTGGGCTGGGATGTCACCAGTATGCGGATGACACCCAGCCCTATCTGATGTTGGGCGGTGGGTCTGGCTCTCGACCAGAAGATCTAGACTGGGCGTTACAGGCCGTGGCTGGTTGGCTTAGACTGAGCCAACTTAAATTGAATCTGATGAAGATGGAGGTCCTGTGCCTGAATCGGGGTGGACCGAGGGTAGGGATCCCACCTGACCTTCTATGGGGCGCCACTGGTGCCAGTGCTGGACGTGAGGAGTTTGGGAGTGCTCCTGGATGCCTCCTTAACAATGGAGGCCCAGGTAGCAGCTGCTGCCAGGTCGGCCTTTTACCATCTTTGGCTGATTAGGCAGTTGGTTCCCTTCCTTGAATGCAACGACCTTGCAACAGTGATCCGTGCGATGGTCACCTCGAGATTAGACTACTGTAACACTCTCAAGGCTGCCCTTGACGCAAATCCGGAAGCTGCAGCTAGTGCAAAACTCTGTGGCCAGGCTTTTGATGGGTCTCCCCATGAGGGAACACATCCAGCCTGTCCTGAAGGCTGCCACTGGCATACCAGATTCATTTCAAGGTGGTGGTTCATACCTTTAAAGCCCTGTATGGCCAGGGTCCGACAAATCTGAGGGACCGCCTTTCCCCATATATACCCCAGAGAGCACTTCGGTCAGGGTCACAGAACCGATTGGCCCTTCCCAAGGATGCCAGGCTAGCTGCAACCAGGGGCAGAGCTTTCTCAGTGGCGGCTCCATACTGGTGGAATGAGCTCCCAGAGGAGATCAGGGCCCTGAGGGACCTTTTACAGTTCTGCAGGGCCTGCAAGACCCTTCCACCAGGCTTTCAACTAGGAGCCGCTACCACCATTACCACCACTTCCATCATGGTCAATATTAATATCTTTGAACACCAACTTTAACAACTTATTGATAATTGAAACCTGGTGCCTGGTCTATTACCGACAGCCTGTGCTCGCCGGCCGAAACTGAGAATGACCATCAAGCTGAATGTCTATATAGGAATTATGTTTAATACCATAAGTCACCATCTTCAATACCATAAGTTAGTCGCTAGCTCTTTATATGATGTAAGTTAGTTTTAATGAATTGTTTTAGATATTTATATATTTATTGTATTGTGTTTTTATGATGTTAGCTGCCCTGTGGTGGGAGGGCGGGGTACAAATGTAAGTAAGTAAATAAATAAATACTACAAAGTAAGTAAATAAATAAATAAATACTACAAAATCATAAAACATCACAAATTATCAATATAAAGGCAAAACAAACCAGGGACATAGTATCAGCACGAGCCAACCACTGAGCACCCTAAAATATCCATAAAATAGAATTCAGACCATAAACAGCTAAAAACATAAAACCCCTTCGTTAAAAGCCTGGGTAGAAAGAAATGTTTTGGCCTGGGGCCTAAGAAACTAGGCTTCAGGCAAACCTCAAGGGGGAGGCCTTCCAAACTTAAGCAAGGCCTTGACTGAAGCATTATTCAGTTTGCCACATGCCAGTCACTTAGAAGAGCTCAGCATCACTTCACACACTGCTGTTGCTCAAGTGGTAACAACCTGTAGCTCACTGTGCTATGTGAAATGTTGCGCAAGTGCAGTTTCAGACTGCAAGTATGCTGACTGGACAAGCCAACTAGCACAGCAACTGACTTGTCTTGTAGCATGAGAAGACAGTTGTACCACACTTCACACATAATGGTCAACATATTGATGTGCACAGAGAATCTCTTTACCTAAGAAACAGTAATGGATGAAGCAGCTTTAAGTGTCAGGTTACGAATGATATGGCCCTCTGCTTATATTGGCTTTCACAAGGTTACACAAACTGAAAAGTTCAGTGCAGTAAAGGATTTACAAACGTGTTTAATCAAGATACATTTCTATCATTTGGAGAGTTTTTTACCTGTTTTATTTCTTCAGGCTTCTTCTGTTTCACCATCTCAACATTAAGTATAGAATCAAGCGTCTACAACAAAAATCACAACAATAAAGCTCATTGCTAGTTGAGAGAAATCAGAAGGTTGCATTCTTCTTCATACACCCCTGGACCTGTGAGCTACAACATACAAGATTCACAAACGCAGGTACAATAGTACTAATTCAGCAATCATTACACTAATTCATGATTAGAAAACCAGCATGGTACAGTGGTTACAGTGTCATACTAGCATTTAGGAGTCCCAGATTCAAATCCTCCCTTTGCCATAGAAACTTGCTGGGTGATCTTAGGCCAGTCACATACACACTCAGCCTAACCTACCCCACAAGGTTACTGAGTGGATAAAATGGAGGAGAGAATGATGTAGGCTGCTTTGGGTGCCCACTGGGTGGGAATGTGGGTTATAAATGAAGTAAAATAAATAAATTCAATTGAGCAAAGCCAGTTTCAATAATAGGAGGAACTGAGGTGCAGTGAAGCAGAATAAGACTTCTATTGAGATGGAGGGGCAGGCAGAAAGAGAGGAAGTAGAGCTCAAACTGTGACAGATCATGGGATACAGTAGACTATGCCACTGCCTGCTATATAGTCTTTTGCAGTCAACTCTAATCTAATTGCAATCCAAGCACCTCAGAAGGCACATAGACTGAACCGAAACTTGGAGTTCCACCACACAGAGATATATACTGTACCAGGAACAAATCATCATAAATAAGAGCAAGTTCAAAACCCAGCTGCTGAAATAAAAATATTAACCTTACCTTATTTTTTGTGAATCCTCCTTTTGATGCTTTATAGCCCAAGGCATCTGCCTAAAATGGAACATTAATAGCGGCTTTAAAATTGCTACTATGTGCCATTATAACCTACTTGATGACAAAACTGCTCAGCTGTCAGGATGATAACACATATATTCTTGGTATGAAATAATGGCATTCTGCTACAGCTTGGGCAAAAACATCATGCAGGACTTGAAAAAAAAGGGCACAGAGATACAGCAAAATGGCAGCACTTTGCATAAAGACATCAAGGTTTGTAATCTTAATTGTCTGTGAAAAATTCAGGCAGTTTTTTTCTTTTTCATCCCCTTCATACTGCATTGTTACTGGATGTACTACACTTTATTCCATTATTCTGTGATTGCCTTACCCCAGCTTTATTACATTGTTTGTTGGATATACCATGATTGGTTATATTATACCCATCTCTATTATACTTTTTTTGTAATTTTGTAATCTGCCTAGAACCTCAAGGAGAAAGGTAGACAACAAATAAAATAAATAAACAAAACAGCATAATATATCCACTTATATTTGGATTCTTAATGAAAACCTCAACTTTTAACCATCCACAGACATCATTATTATTGATGGCATCTGCCAGGAGAGAAGGAATATGTACAATGAGCCTTAAAGTCTTAGTCAGAATTAAACAAAAATGACTCAAGTTTGCTTTATAAAGCAAATGCCTGCCCGAGAATTCTATCCTCCTTGTTATGATGAATGGGGAGCTGTACATCTTCAAACTGCAAAAGACTGGCTGATATGCAGGGTTTTAGACAGAACAAACAGAACCTTCTCTGCCTGCTGTGACTTATTCTTCCACTACACAGTACAAGGATATGGGTAATATGTCTACTGTGGCTATATGGGGAAAAGAACTGTCCTTTTTAGCACTGCAGTTAAGGCTTATTCATACATCTATTAACTTAATAACAATCAATTAATAAATATAAAAATAAAAATGCAAGAAAAGATTCCCTGGAAATGCTTTACTTTAGAACATCACTATATGAGCAACAACACTGATTGCCTCAGGAAGCTAAACTAGAGAACACTGCCAGTTCCTGTGAAAGTCACAGGGAGATGCATACAGAGCTGAAAATGGAAGGATATCTGTGTGAAATACAACTTTCCTGATGATATAAAGTCAGAGATGAAAATTCACTAACGGGGAAAAACCTTCTTGGGAACTACTTTATACTAGGAGTGAGCATGAACCAGGTAAATGGAGGTCCGTTGGAGGTTCGTTGTTCAGGGGAGTTCGGCCCACCTGAAAGTGACCCCCAAAGGCATTTAAATGCCTTTGGAGCCCACCTCTGGGTTAAGCCACCCAACTCGACTGAGCTCCCAGAGTGAGCTCTGAAGGCTTTTATAGACCTTATATACATCTATATATGGGCAGGCCCTAATATGGGCAGGACCCACTTGGAAGTGGGCTCCAAAGGCCTATAAAAGCCTTCAGAGCTTACTCTGGGAGCTCAGTCATGTTGGGCGGCCCGACCTGGAAGTGGGCTCCGAAGGCATTTAACTGTCTTTGGAACCCAAGAATGTGTCTCCCACAAACCTCCATGAAAACCGGGGAGGTTCATGGTCAGATAGTGGGAGACACATTCTCCTGAACCCCTAGTTTGTGAACCACAAACCAGCCTGGATTGTGCTTGAACCGGGGTCCATTTGTGGGTCTGTGCCCATCACTACTGCACACTCTAGTTTCCCCACAAATGTCTAGGAAATAAAACATCAGCATGCTTGAAGATTATTGGTCTGTTTTGCTTTTTTAAAAAAATTATTGATTTTCTATACGACAATTCACAATAAAACGCTAAGGTGCAAAAACACATTACACCGTCATTCAAATCATAGTCCTCCAATACACAATACACAACAAAAACATAAACATTAAATTAACAACAAAATATCTACAACTAATACAACAAATACTACATTAGGGGTTATTTAATAACCCCTGTTTTGCTTTTTGAGGGCTTATTATCAATCATAGAATCCCAGGGAGTCCCCAGCCCCAAAGTTTTCCCCACATCCTATGCCAGTGCACTTTTCCATTTATAAACAGGTTTATCTATACAGTTCATGGGCTTTTAGGCAAAATAAAAACCTTAAAATAAAGCACAATCTTTATAATTAAAAAAAATGCAATTGACCCTTCACATCTAAACAATGCACATTTTCATGTAAGACATTGTGTGTACAAAATTTAATAGCTAAAGTGGTCCCTGAAATCTATGTGGAGATCCTTCCTCAATGACAGACCAGATGGAGACAATGCTGTTTGGGAAGACAAAAGTTTTTGACTGATGTTAATCAGGCCAAATAGAGATGAGCTCTCTTTAGCAGACTGTATTAACAGCTTGAGGGTACTCTTGGACCAAGTCTTGTTTATGGATAAACAGATCAGTGCTGTTGCCTTCTTTCTGTTACATCTGGCTCATAAACTGCACTGATCCATGCTACTGTAACTTCCAGATCATACTGTAACATGCAGGGCAGCATTTGAAGATACCTCAGAAGTTTCAATTGGTATACATTGTGGTACCAGGACTACAGTTTGGAGGTCAGCTGCTTGTACAATATAACTCCAGTGCTGTTCAGAGCCAGTGTGGTATAGTGGCTATGGTTTGAATCCCTGCTCCTCTATGGAAGCACACTGGATGACCTTGGGCCAGTCACCTACTGCACAGGGTTTTTGTGAGAACAAAATGGAGGATAATAACATAAGCCACTTTGAGTCCTTAGTTGGGGGGGGGGGGAATGCAGGATATAAAAGAAGTAAATTTTAAAAATATATTAATTGCACTTGCTTTTAGGCCCAGTTCAAAGTGCTGGTTATTACCTTGAAAGCCCTTCACAGCCTAGGGCCCTCCTACATAAAGAACTGCAACTCGCAGTATACTTCCAAATGCCAGTTATGCTCCTCAGCCTTCAACTTGTACTGCACTCTCTTAGGACTGTTTGTACAGGAACAGCTGGGTCACAGGCTTTCTTGGTGGTCCAATCTTGGTGCTAGGCTCCTGTGTCTCCAAAGGCAGGAGCTAGATTCTCCTGCTGGGCCTCAGGCTGGCTTCCGTCAAGAGGAAGCAGCACCCGGGGAAGGCCTCAGCCTCGATCAGTGGCTCCTAGCCATGGGGACTAAAGGGAACCTCCATGTTCAGAGGCAGTCAGCCTTTGAATCCCAGCACCAGGAGGCAACATCAGCAGCAGGCCAAGGCCTCTGTGCCCTGTTGTTGGCCCTCCAGAAGAACTGGTTGGCTCACTCCGTGAGGTCCCTCAGTGGCTATTAGCCACAAGGTATAGATAGGAACTCTCATTCTGGGGCAAGGGATGCTCTGTATTCTTGGTGCTTGGGCGGGCAACAGTGGGAGGGCTTCTAGTGTTGTGGCCCCACTGATGGACCTCCTAATGACACCTGGTATTTTTGACCACTGTGTGACAGAGTGTTGGACTGGATCAGCCAGTGGCTTCATCCAACACCAGCTTCTCTTATATTCTTATGTCCTTATGTAATCCTCTGGACTGGCTTAGGAGAGTAAGTGCAGAGGGCACCTTCACTTACTGCATTTAGGAATGTGTGGAGAATGGGTTTATTTCAGAGGGCATTTGGTGGAGGATTAATTCTTTTGGCAGATTTGGCTACATTTTTAATTTATGCATTTTTAACTTGCTAAGGAACTATTCTGTTGTTTTGCGTCCTTGCAACCTGTAGGTGCATTTTTAGCCTCCTCAAATTTTAAATAAAACTAATAAAGAGAACTTTCCTTGATAATTAGTCCTCACTGTAAAATAAAATCATCTTTTTGGAAATGTTGTATTAAACTGGAAGACAAGATCTAGCATTGATCACAAGGGCTTTGATTTAATTCAAGAATTAGTTAGCATTTGTTGTTGTCCAGTTGCACAGTCGAGTCCTACTCTTCACAACCCCATGGACCACATCACGCCAGGCCCTCCTGTCTTCCGCCGTTTAGTTAGCATATAGAAGTAAATTTAACTTAATAAAGCAATAGTTTAAACAATCAGGAACACTATTGTTTAAATCAGGGGTGTCGAACTAGGGCTGCCAAATCCCCCTGGGGGCGGAAATCCCCCCGCCCCAGAGGCCCGTTCCCAGACGCCGGGGAATTGGGCCCCGGGGGGAACCCCGCCCCAGCATGCACGTCACAGGGAAGTGACGTTATGATGCCGGGCACGCTGGGGGCGGAGCCACGGCCATACAAGGGAAAACTCTATGGTTTTCCCTTGTATGGTCATGGCCCCGCCCCCAGCGTGCCCGGCATCATGACGTCACTTCCCTGTGATGTGCATGCGGCGCGCGCTCGCGCTCTGGGAGCCGCACAGGAGCCCCCCGCCGGAGAGGTGAGTAACATTTGGCAACCCTATGTCGAACCCATTTATTACGAGGGCTGGATCTGACATAAATGAGTCCTTGTTGGGCCAGGCCATGTGTGTCATAAAATGTAATGCCAGGTAGTGAAGATATAAACTTTATAAAGGACACAAACACAAAGCTTTTTTTTTTACTTAAAATAAAAACATGCTTAAAACATTAGCTCTGTAAGCTGCAAACCTGCTTTTGATTTATTGACATTCACCACAGAAATCTCATGCTCAGAGTTGTGAGTCTAAGACCCAGGTTAAAACATGAAACGGTTGAGTGATTAAGAGAGTCTGGTGAAGCAAGCTATGATGCAGCAGCAGCAGCAGAACTGGAAGCAGGAGATGGCCAGTTCCACTGTGGGCCTGATGGAAGCCCTCTGGGGGCCTTATCTAGCCCCCGGGCCACATGTTTGACACCCCTGGTTTAACCAGTAACAAGTTCACAGTCTATCTAGCCCACATACGTATTCTTTTGTTGTTCAGTCGCACAGTCAAGTCCAACTCTTTGCGACTCCATGGACCAGCTCCTGCCAGGCCCTCTAGTCTTCCGCCGTCCTCTGAAGTTTGCTCAATTTCATGTTCGTTGCATCTATGACACTGTCTAACCATAGATCTTACATATTACGTATTCTTACATATTATCAATTCTGCTGCTTATTTCAGTTAAAAAGAATTAACATGTTAAAGTGGTCCACTGTCTGGCTTATGTGCAGATGATTAACAGAAAGGCTAGCACTGGAAAACATACATTCCGCAAGCACCAATTGTACATGAGTGCACAAGTAATCCTTGGCCAGTTTTCCAAGCCTTGGAAAATGGGTAAATTTTTACAGCAGTACATAAACAGCAAACAAATCTTTATCACTGAATTGCTAAAACATTTCATGTTTCACATCCATAATTTAGTATTTCATTCTTTTAAATGCCAAACACTTGTCAGGGATTCATTCCCACAAAGTTGCAAAACACAAACCAACCACCCTAAAAAAACCCCGACATTAACCACAACAATCAGAAGTTTTTGAACATAGCAGGCATTTTCTAATCCAGATGTCCAATTGTTAATAAAATATCAAGTGAGTTAGATTTGAATATTGGGCTTGCCTTTTCCTCCATGAATCTGACAAATTCTGCTTGCTTTGAATATCCCACTGGCTTCTTTTTCTCATCGCTCCTTGTCTCCATTCGAGTTGCAAAAATATCAGGATTAGATCTGAATCAAAGTTAGAACTGTTTATTACCACTAAAAAGTAATTGTTATTAATTTACATTTTATTCCCATCCTCTCCTAAAAGCTTGGGGTGAACAACAGTCACTCCTCATGACAATTTATAATCCTAGAAAGGAAGCTAAAACAGAAGGGAAAGACTTGGCCTAGTTTACCCGGTAACCTTCACAGCTGAAAACACCCAAGGAAGAAATATTATGCAAACAAAACCGCAATCAACAATGCTCTTATTGGAGGCAAGCATCCAAAATCAGTGGAGCCAGAAATCAGCAACCATAAAGCATTTCTTTTTCTTTAAAGTTATATTCCACTTTTCCAAAATATGATTCAATCAAAGCAGTTAACAAGTCCTACCAAAGCAGTTGTCCAGAAATTAATTCAAAACTAATCTGCAATACAGAACAATAAAACCAGCTGAAGACAAACGTTAACACAGTGATCATAACAGAAAAGGGGCGTCTACAGCCCGTTTTAAAGTATGTTTCTGGTCCCTAGAAAAGAACCTTATGGCACTTTAAAGGCTCACAGATGTATTGCGACAAAAGCTTTCGAAGGCTACAGTCTATCTCATCCGATGTCATGATATAACTATAAGACTTTAAGGTGCCACAAAACTCCTGCTTTTTCCTATTCCTGCTAACTGCACCAGAAGAGGAATCGTGCAATCCTAAACAGAGTTATAGTCTTCCAAAAACCACTGAATTAAGTAGGGCAAGGAAGAGTGTAAAACAGCTACACTGTAAGAATAATCTCCGGTGACTGCACGGAACAGGTGGAGCAAATAGCCTGAAGGAGAAAAGGACAGGGATAGGTTGGGGGCTGCAGGATTCCTGCCACTCTTCTGCCCCTCCGAAATTGCCAAAGTCAGGAATTATTTCCCGTGCGCGCACCCCCCCCCCCTTACTTGCGCAGCTCCTGGATCTTGTGTTGGTATTTTGCGGAGAAGGGATTCTCGTCCAGAGCTCCGTCGCCTCCCACTCCCTGGACCCTCATCACCAGCGGCCGAGGCTGCGGGGGCAGCAGCATGCCGAGAGGCCGAAGGGCGGCGAAGCGGCCCATCAAGACTCCTCGGGAAAGGCCCAGTGCCGCCGAACCCCAAAACTGCTGCATGTACCCGGCTGCCATGCCTGCCCTGTCAGCCCACATCCATTCAGAGCAACATGTAACACCAACCGCCCCTTCCTCACAGCACAGCACAAAGGTTCCGGCCGACAAGACTCAACCGGAACTTTTCGGAGAGGAGTGATTTGCTTTGCGCTGCTCAGAGAG